CAATACTACGTTTACTAGATGGACGCAAATAGTCCCTGCGGTGCGTCCTCTGCCCCCCGCCACGGCCAGGCGAGCCAGCACGCTCCCCCCAAGCACGTCATAATCCCAGCAGTCACAGCCCTCCTACATCGAACTCGCCTCCAAGCACAAAACCTGCTAGCGAGACGGGCTGGGGCCACTAGACCTGCCGGCGCCAGGCACTCCGAGCGCCAAATGCCGAAAGGTGGTTTCCTTCAGTCAAACAGCCCGAATTTGGGGGGCTTAGCCAAACGGCCCGAACGCCCAAGGCGCATCGCAGCAATGGCTTTTTCATGTAGTATTTGGTCACGCTCCCGCCCCAATCACCGCTGGCACAGAAGAAAGCGTGCCGAGGTGAATGGGGTTGTGAGTGAAGGTGCTGGTCACCTATTATTGTATCTCCAGAGAAATTCCTTTTCCACCTGTAATCTCAGCCGAGGCACATTTCAGAGGCTGGGCATCCGCAAGAAACATCTCTGTAAAGGTACTGCCTACTCAAATAACAGAGAGAATAAAATTCCCACCTGCTTTTGTGCTGCTAAATGCCCTCTACTCCCACCAATTCAGTCTAATTAGGCAGTGGGGCACAGAGCCAGAAACAGCATCACGTGCCCTCCTAACCCATTTATTTGGCCGGACACTTGTCCGCCCCATTGACTAGATGAAATTCAGCAAGTGCAAACAAATTGGGTCCTTTCCTTGCTGGAGGAAACCTGGTGATGGGCACAGCGCATAGCCACTACGCAGAAGAGGCTCTCCAAGCCAAATCTGCTGCAGTCTGACTTGGCAGCCGGGCAGACATCTACCTCCATCCAAGCTGCTGCAAACGGAAACGGCATTTAAATAGCTCCTGGAAGGTTATAACGAGGTGGTGTTCTCTTCGGGCTGCTAATTTGAGGCTTACTAGAGGCAGGGGCCGTCTCTGAGCCCGCGGAGAGCATGACAGAGCGAAGGGGAGGGTTTAGCCACCGGCAGCAGTTCTTGGCAGCTCGCTGCAGATTTTAGCTTCCTTGACACAGTCCTGTCCTAATGCTTTGCCTCTGTGCTTAGCTCCGCGTGGCTGAACAGAGACATCTCCTGGTCAAGCAAAATCTGCCTTTCCCTTTTCCTAAAAGAAGGAAAAATAATAATAATTTTTAAGAAACTAAAAAAAAAAAAGCTAGAACCTCAAGCTCACTGCTTTACCTTTGTAAAGGAGTGCAGCTAGCCGGGCAGGATCCTAGCTCTTCACTCCAGAAGGCAGCTGGCACTATCCTGTCTCCCATAGGATAGGCTGCCCCCAGCATAGTTGTTTTCTCTCAGCACCTTGTGCTGGGTGATGGGCTCGGGCAGGGATGGAACGGTTTCATGCCGCACAACTTGCCAACAACTTGTTAGTAGCCCTTGATGCTCTCCAGCACCATCTCAGTGACTGGAGAATTGGAGAGTCAAGTGGGATCTGGCCCTAGCTGTGTTGGACATCCGGCTCCTACTCCCCACTGCTTTGCCCCCCAGATACGCTGCTTTCCAGTAATCCTCACTTTTCCACTGCAGTTTCTTTCCCAGATCTCACATCTACTGCTCCCAATTTCCCCACGCTTACTTCCCAAACCTCCCTCTTACCTACCCAGGCATTGCCCCCCACCCCCCAGGATCTTCCCACCCTGGGATACAGCACATTTTTATTATGAAGAGACATTTTTAATATATATAATATATGAGCTGTATTTGCATTCAAAATAACCCAAATTACAAGACCAGTGTGCTTTTGCTTGCCTATCATATAAACTGTCACAAGTGCAAGAAACCACTGTACAATGAAAAATGTGGAAGATCATAGACCGCAAATGCTTGGTAAGTCATAGAACTGGCTGCCCAGCAGGCTGTGCATGTTAATTCATAGGGTACCTGAGCAATAGCCAGGCATTTGCCCCCTTTCTGTCGTTAAAACAGTTAAGAACTTGAGATGCTGTTGGACTCAGGGCATCACCTGCCAAGACTTTGAACCCACATTTTTCAGAGGCTTAGTTTTGGGGGATGCAAGGCAGAAAAGACGCCACTTCTCTGAAAAAGAAAGCTGAAACATTATAATAGTCTCACGGGAGTTTGAGGCCAAGGAGAAAGAAGAGAAGATAGCAAGAGAAAGAGCATCTCTCAGGAGATGTTCAGCATGAGCACTCTACCTAAAATCGATTTTTCTGAAGAGGCTTGGTTGACACCCAATGTATTGCCACTCCCAGCTCATTCTAAAGAGCCACAAAAGCAGTTGCCATTTTCTCCTCTCTGCCCTAAGCTAACACTTCAAAAACTGTCATGTTATTAAGAGCTGGTTAGCTCACCGATCTCACAGCTCAACTACAAACCAAGAATTGGCACCAGAGCAGGAACATTTCTAGAGATGTTCCGCACTTCTGGACCATTGGCTCAGTTCTCGGCCCCACGGTATTTAACACATTGTCAGTGCCTTTTAAAAGACATAAAATGGTTGCTGATAACTTTTTCCAATGATAGAAAGGTGAGGGAAATAGAGTAAGTCACGTGGAAAGGGATCATCAGTAAAGACCAGTTTGCAGAGCTGGAAGAGCTGGGCACGGGAAAACTATGTGTATTTTAGCATACCCCAAACTGTGGGCATTCATCTAGGACCAAAGAACGTGGACCACAGTCAGATGCAGAGGTTTCATCCTGGAGATGCTGCCTGAAAAAGCCAGAGAGGACTTGCTGCCAATGAACAGCTCCAGACAAGGGCATAAGTTACACTAGAGCTGTAGCAGGCATTGGTGGGAGAGCTTCTGGGTCCTGGTCTGGTGTCCACAGCTCAAGAGAGATGTGGCTAAAGTGGAGAGGGCTCAGAGAAGAGCTGTGAGATTGGGTTAAAGGCCTGGGAAGGCCACCAGGAGCCAACCCCGTGGGCAGCTTGGCAAGGCCCGGCTGGCCAGCCGCTGCCCTCACTACGTCCCCCTTGCTGACCACCGCCCGCATGTCTCTCCTCCAGTAATTGACGGTCCAACCCAGATCCTGGTGCGGGACGTCTCCGACACCGTGGCCTTCGTGGAGTGGACGCCACCGCGCGCCAAGGTGGATGCCATCCTGTTTTTTTTAACGGGGAGGGGGGGAAGACCCCCTTCCGCCTGCAGCCCCCGCTGAGCCAGTACTCCCTGCAGGCCCTGCGCCCGGGCTCCCGCTACGAGGTGGCCGTCAGCGGCCTGCGAGGCACCAACGAGAGCGACGCTGCCCTCACCCACTTCACTACAGGTAGCCGGCCACGGACCGATTCACTGGTTTTCAGACCCGGAGTCTATCTACCCTTCGTCCCCCTGGAAAGGGAGCGGGGAGCCCCTCGGCCGGCTCGCTTGGAGCCTGACCAAACGCAGGCGCGGGGAAGGCGACGCAGCTCTTCCCTGCTGCTGCCCGGCTTTGCCCTTGAGCAAACGTCCCTGATCTCCACGAGACCCTGTCTTGTGACATCCCTTGAAATAGGTCCGCTGCACGGTGACTCAGTGCGTGAGCTCCGCTTCTGCCCGACTCCAGGACAAATCCTGCTGGGGCTAAGGATTTTTCCTCCCCAGCAGACCGGTGCGGTAGCCGCCTGTATGTTTTTGCCTGCAGCGTAGAAGCGGTTAGCAGCATTTAAAAGGTTCAACCCCAGCCGGTGCCCTCCTATCCGCAGCGTTTGTTTGTCTGTTCTAATTGCAATCTGTCTGCGAGGATTAACAACTCGTCCCCGCTCCGCAGAGCGTAAACGCTGCAGCGCAAGGCAGAGTATCTATGGGCGTGAGTCGGGCCGGACCTCTAGCAATCCGTGGAGCCGTGCCAAGCGTCACCCCGCGGGGGCTTGCCGCTGCGCGAGCGCACCTCGGCGAGGCGGAGGCACGCGCTGCTGCAAACTGCAGATGGGTTGGCCTTTAGCGAGGGCGTGAGTTTGCATAGCTGGACCCGAATCAAGGTTGCGCCAGAACGAGAGGTGCTCGGATCTGTCTGTGCTTCAGCGAGATCCTTTTTCCCCCAACACAAACGAGCTGAGGTTTCATCTGGTATTACAGAAGGAGGTAGTAGCACAAGGAAGACATCGAGGTTAAGATGCAGGTCCAAAGTAAGGTGTCTCAGATCCCGTTACAAAGCAAGTCCGTGGAGTGAGAGAGGGAACCAGCTCACCCTAAAACAGAAAGCTGCCGCCTTATCAGCTGAGATGTCCTCTGTCCGTCATTCACTACTTGCTGAACTCCTGTTCAGCTACCTAAAGCTAAGCCTCTAGTGTCACCGTCCCAGCTACGTCCTGTGCCCCATGGGGATCTCTCACATTGCCCCGGGCATCGCAGGTGACTCCCGATGCCAGCATTTCGGTGACTGGCTCCAATACCTAAATCGAGGTGTCAGTCTCAGGGTGAGTCCCACCTCGGCCACCTCCTACCGCAGCACTGAGCTGCCTGCGGGTTCCCGCAAGAGGACGGGCTTGACATGCTGCTGGCTGGGACCTCGTCCCCCCCGGCCCCAGCTTCAAAGAACATTGAGCCCCTCAACCAGGCTGGAGCCCGTGGCCAGACTTCAAAAACCAGAAGCCAGAAGTTATGCCCTTAATAACACCTGTAGATGAGCGTGCAATTCTCAAGCACACCAAAACTGCGAGAAGCACAGTGCTTTGAGAGAAATCAGGGACCTACTTTAGGCACGAGAGGCCTTATTTTAAAAAGCTGGTCACTCCTGTACCTGCCAGAGCTGAGGCAGATGCATTGCCTGAGAAACCTGCAGCCAAGCGCCTGAAAGCAACACAGTTAAAAATGTGGTTATCTTATTTTATATCTTATATGAATACTCTAACTGGTCAGTAAAACTTTAATTAATGTTAAGCCTGCAGATAGCTACCAGGTTTAATTTACCATGCCATAAAGGAGGAGGTAGAGAGCATATTTCAATGCTATTTTATGGTATATAAATTACCTGTCATGTATATTACTGGTGGATACTAGGCTTCCATTACAATAACCGTAGTGCGTGAATTGTGTGTGTACGTATATATCTCTATATAGATATATATTTATAACGAGACTTTCACTGCAATTGATTTGCTGAGTTGGCCTACCTTGCTTTATTTCTAAAAGACAACATAAAAAATTCCCCCATAAAAAGCTGATCCGGAAAAAAACAGTAATTACCCCTGCCTCCTAGCACTCAACAACAGGCAGGCCCTGTCTTGTAGTGATGCCTACAGCGACCCGCAGCTCGCAGGAGAGATGCGTTGTGCGAATCAGAGCAGATTTGGTACCCAGCCTTAGCAGCGCTGGTAAACACAGCGCAGCGTCAGCCTGAACAACCTCTGAACGCAAATGAGACTGTAAAGAAGCTCAAGGTCTTCCAAGCTACCCCATCAAAATTCACACCAGCTCCGTTCAATGCTTGGCTGCTACAGAGCCCTTTTTTAACCTCTTTACACGCAGTGCCTCAGTTTCCCTCGCTGTAAAATAGGAAGAAAATAATGCTTTTCTTCTATAACCACCACGCCGTTAGCTCCAGGAGCAACGCACTGAGGGATGCTGTGACTGCGCCGGCGTCACATTGACCCCGATGAAACCCTTGGCGGCTCCTGGCCGCGGGAGCCGGGCTCGGCCGCGGCCGCGCTGAGCCGGTGCCTCTGTCCCTTGTGTCGCGCAGAGATCGACGCCCCCCAGAACCTGCGCCAGGGCG